ATCAGAAGTTAGATCTTATATAAGTTGTCTTCGAACCATTGACAATCAGCGAGTGTTAACTTCCATGTCCCAAAAATTGGAACCAAGACGATCATAAAATCAAGAACCTATGTAGGCAAGACAAGGGTAATTTATTATACTTTAATAAACTAGAAAAGAAAAAAGTCTACAATTCAAGTCACAAAAATTGTAAGCAAGTCGATGGTAAGATTTTTTTCTATTATTCTCCAATAATTTTGTATAAAATTCGTGACAATGGGAGAAGCTCGATTAAATTTTTAATATTTTTTTATGAACGTAAGATCTGTTAGAAAGACTGTGTATTATTATTATCACAGATTGTATTTATTTATATAAGTTAAATATTTATGCCAATAAATAGTTAGCTTGCAATTTATAGAATAATTGCAAATTTATATCGATTTGAGAATTGCAAATTCATATTCATATTTAAATCATAATTTTCTATGAATTATATGAATTTGTGTCAAAAATATTAAGAAGATTTTTTAAATTTTTTATATCTTTCTTATTTTTTCAACGTCTACAAATATCTGATATCATTTTTATTCACAAAAAAACTACATCCACCGCAGTGTTTCATTTTTAAATTTTTTTATATAATGTGAATACAAATATTTTTGTTTCAGAAAAAAATTGAGTGATCTGAATATTTGAATCTTGAAAATATTTTGAAAATGTTTTTTTTCTTTTTGTAGAATCATTAATTGTTTAAAATGGATTTAATTCTTTTGAATTAAAAATATATGAAGCGTTTATTATCTATACAAATTTGGCACCGTTTATTATTTCAGATTTTATTTAAATTTATTTGATTTAAAATGTCGATATCAAAATTAATTAATAACTAAATTTTGATATGAAATTTAATATATTTTCTTTCGGCTACACAGTCTCAAGTAAATTATTTCTTAAACTTAAAACTAAATTTAAAAAAAATAATAAGGAATAATGTATAGAATAAAACAAATAAGAATATATTTATATATTTCGTTCTATATTAATAATGCATATCTATAGTCATTATTTAATTGCACAACAATCATATCATATGGAATAAAAAAAAATTACAAGGAATAATAAATTATTTATCAAATTTATTTTATTCTCCTCCACTTTTATTTATAATTTTTTTATTTAACCAGATGTATGGCATTGTGCCTTAAGGCATTTTTTTTAATATCACCAGTACAATCAGAGTATCAAAAACATTCAAATTTCTTGATCAGTTATTTTAAAAACGTGGATAAAAATTGTATCCAAAGTTACATACATACATAGGAAACCCACAAATATTTTGTTGTAAGGTAGACCAAAGTTAACAAAATTAATAGAACAAAAAAGTGTTCTCCAGAAAACTCAAATTAGCATTTTTAAAGCGTTTCTTTGAAGTATCTGTGTTTATATTTAAATGTGCAATATAATTTTACTACATCATTCCTTGTAATATTACTAATAATAATTCTCTAATATAATTTTTATGCTAAAACAAATATCTCGTTGTGATTTAAACGTAAGACAATCCGATGTTTATAAATCAATAAATAATTGCACTTCTTATGAAATAAAATATAAATTCTATTTGTATATAGCAGTAACAACTTATTGTATATTTCTCTCATCACTATTTTTAATAAAAGTTCAATTTAAAATAGAAAATTTAAATTAAATCAAGTTCTTCAAATGTTACTCTTAGTAATAATTTAATGTATAATGTCGATAGAAAAGAACCAAACATATTCAACACCATTAATGAAATCTTAGAGATCACGTATAGTTTATTATAATTATTCAGGTTAAGATATTTATAAATTATATGTGTGTTTTGTAGATATGTGAATAAATAAAATTCTTAAGTGTGGTTTATCCTGCTTTAATTGAAAAAAATAGGAGAATTTTCGATTTGGTTAAAAACATGCAATGGAGTAAATTACAGTAGTATTTATTACAGAATTTAATTAAAAAACTTTAACATTTAAAAATTACAGATAGAATTATCGTTTAAGCATACAAATTTGTATTCTCAATTTAGTACATTATTTTATGTAAATTTTTGTTCATTGAAGCCTTAGCATATTAGATATTAATTTTTCTGCGATTTTTAGAAAGATTTTTTAACAGATTGTACGTTTTGAAAAATGCATAATTCGATTTTGATGAAACTTGACATACATCGTTACTACACTTTAGTAAATATTTGACAAAAATTTAAAGTTGGAACATTCAATAGTTTCTGAGATATGCGAGATTGATGAGTGGCTGGCTGGCTCTGCTCTCAATACTAGTATTGAAACAGATTGTACGTTTACAAAAATGCATAATTCGATTTTGATGAAACTTAAAATACATTGTTACTACAATTTACTAAATATTTGACAAAAATTTAAAGTTGGAACATTTAATAGTTTCTGAGATATGCGAGGTTGATGGGTGGTTGGCTTCGCACTCAATACTAACATTTAAAGTTTAAATCATTTTTAAATATGTCGTGGACCCCCATTTTTATTTAGTGGAGCCCCAAATTTTGTTTTTCCTGCCCCATGGTCCATGTGGACCACTTTGGAAATCGTTGCTCTAAAGCTTTTTATTCAAACAATACATTTTTGTTTAAGAGCAAAATTTCTTATTTGTTTACATTATAGCAGGTAAATGTACAGGTGTGTATCGATAGTTTAATTCTCAATATATTTTGTTAAAAAATGTTATTGTTGAACTAATTTTGAAAATTAGAAACTATAATTACAAAACTTATTTTTTCAAGAATTAGAGATATAATTACGGTTCAATATTGTCTATTATATTGCCTAATTTTTTTGTTCAAGTCTTCAAAATTTTGAATTGCTTAAATTTCTTGTCTTTCTAAAACAAAATATAGTTGTTCATGAGTAAAATATTATATCTATTTATATTATAACAGGTAAATGTACAGATGAGTGTCAATTGTTTAATCCACAATATATTTTAAAAAATGTTATTGATAAACTAATTTTGAAAATTAGGAAACATAATTACGAAACTTACTCCTTCAAGAATTAGAGATAAAATCCAATAAGCATCGTATTTTTAATTCTCAATCTAGTATATTATTTTTTCTATTTTAGTTATATATTAGCTTTTCTATAATTTTAAAATGTAATTTTTTTTTAAACATTTTGAGATTGTTAAACTCTTTTCTTCTTATTGAAGGTGTTAATTTAACTAATATGCTTTTGTTTGTGAATATAACTTCTATACTTTTCTTGAAGTAAATTTTGTTGATGCCCAATTTGAGCTCCTGAGTATTGTGAAATTTGGAATCCTTGTAAATACATTTTTTTCAAAAAATTTTCTTGGTCGACGAGAATATATCCAAGCCTTGCTGAAATTATAAAAATTGACTAAATTAATATTTTAATTTGTATATTACCAAGGTATAAGGTTTGGACTGTTTATAATCTTAACTGGTAGCTGGCGCTGATTTCTTCTCTTCGTCCAACTCCATGCCTTGAAATATTGCACAACTAAGGATAAATTAGAACAGTTGGAACACCAAGTATCGTATTAACCTTTTTTGTCTGTCCAAGTAAAATGTGCAAATAATTTTGACAACATATCAAATAATGGAATATGTTATTTTAGTGTAGCATGAAAAATTTTGAAAAGATTTTTACCCATATAAGGAAAAGAAAGTATCCAATGCTAAAATTGCTTGAATGATGGGTTGGATGTATTTGCAGGTGCCTACTGCTGGTAAGTTATATGTGATTTATTATATGTATTTTTTAAGTTAAGGAATGAATGTATTCTGCATAATAAGTTAGTTAGATTTTTTTGTACTTTAAAATATTTTTAATATTTACGTTGGCTGTGCATGAACGAAATATCCAAGCGTGTTTTACTGGTTGGTAAGGAACCCAAAGAAATGTAAACAAAATTTGTTCTTATTATTAAAATATCTATAAAATATTAGATAATTTGGTTTGCATATGTCAAGTGATCATTTTTGTCCGCCAAATGGCTTTTTTTACTTTTGTTATTGGATCTCCGAAACTGCTACATCTGCCTTTCCAAAAATTATATTAGTTCGTCAATACAAGTAAAATGTTTTTTTCTTTATTAAAATCGGACGCTCCGTTTTCTTAAAAACTGTGTTACCGTTTTGGCACTTTTTGTCCCGTACTTTCGAAACGACTAGACCCGCCTTCGCCAAAAACTAATCAGTACATCTCCTTATCAATACAAATCGAATGTTTTTTGAATTACTCAAACCGGTTGATCGGTGTAACCAAAATCGTCGACGAAAATGTGTATCGACGAAAAGCGTAAAAATTTTCATTTTCGATTTTTTTTCGATTACTATCTAGTTTTTATGATTTATCGATTTTTTCACGATTACTAACTTCCTACTGAAAGTTAACCATATTCAATTTGTATACATGTTTTATGTTTACAATACAATTTGTATCCATGGTAATTTTTCAAACCGGCAGGTGCGTTGAATTAGGTGTAACACGAGGGTAAGATAAATAACAATATACTGTTGTTCAATACTCTAGTCAGAAAAATTTGAAATATTAAATACAAAAATAATAGTTGAAAAATATTCACAATAATTTAAATTAAAATTACAAAAATATTTATATATTTTTTTAGAATAGTTAATACAAGTGAATAATTGTATCTTAAAACTTAACATTTATTTTAGTTAATAATAATAAATAGTGAAGTTATATTACAAAAATTAATGAAATATTATGTGAAAGATACTTTGCAAATCATATGTAAAAAAAATAATAAAAACAAGCTATATCATATAAATCAAATAATTTAAAACAAAAAATATAAATAGTGAAGTTTTATTACTAAAATTAGTATAATTATGTGATATAAACTGTGAAAAGTGTATGAAATAAAAATAATGAATACTAGCAATATCATTGGAAAATTTAAACCAATTAATTAAATAATTAATTTCAATAATATTAAATCAATCCATTACCATGTCTTATATTAGTTTAAGACAAGAACCGATAATTTCTCGTCGAATAAATTCGATGCCTCCTTCTTGTTTTCCACATTTAAGTGCTTTTACTGGAAAAGAAAATGAAATCGATTTGCGATCGGAATTTTCACCAGAACTGGAACAAATTTGCTCTTCTACAAATTTACCAGAAATACCTCTATGCAAAATTATTGTTTTGGGAGACGTGGCCGTTGGTAAAACCAGCTTAGTAAAAAGGTTGGTAGAAAAAAGAATTGAAATTACCTATTTACCTATTACCTATCCTTACCTATTTTATTATAATTGTTAAAATATTTAGTGCTAATATATATATATATATATATATATATATATATATATATATATATATACACGTATATATATATGCAGTAATCGGTATAAACATTTTTCAAATTTTACTGTAGTGCAAGAAGAAGACTAAAGACGAACTTAAATAAAAAATTAAATGTCTTTCCTTTTAAGCAAAATAAAATCTTGAATAATAAATATAAGTATTAGCTATACACAAAAAAGATTAAGCGCACTGCCTTGTAAGGACAAGGTCGTGAGTCCAAAACTCCGCTCTGGACAACCTGACATCATGCAGTAGATATATCAATTTTTTACTTGCAAATATAGATTAAAAATATTTTTCCAATTGAAAATAGTCAATTTCGGGCGCTTCGGTATAAAATAGAAATGGTATTTCCCTCACACTATTTTTCCCTGAATAAAGTTGGATTTGAACTCAGCTCATATCTCTACCCTAGAACGGTACTACCCCATTGCAATATTCACAGATATATTCTATGAGAGCAAGTAGGGATATCTATAGACTACAGTACGAATCCTCGAAAATCCAGTAAATGTTTGCGCCTAAAGATGTCCCTAACAAATCTTAAGCTATCAAAAAACTTGCAACTTACTTCGAAGCAAAATACCACTAACATCTAATTTTATTTCTTATTTCAGATTTTCTGAACATACTTTCAACAATGAATATAAAGCTACAATTGGCGTAGATTTTCAAGTCGCCCGATTCAATGTCTTATCGATACCATTTCATTTGCAAATGTAAGTAATTTAAACTTTTTGTTTAAATATAAACATATATTATTTATTAAAATAATACACAACATTTTTGTCAAAATAAAATATTTACATTTCAGATGGGACACTGCTGGTCAAGAACGTTTTAAATGTATAGCACAAGCTTATTACAGAAAAGCACATGGTAAATTATTAAAATTATTTTTATTAAGTTGTTTAGGTCAAGTACATATCAACTAGTGGAGCGCATGGCCTTAAGGAAAATTTCTGGAACTTCCCATACCGTAATTAAACATTCGAGAAATGTAAATAATCAATGATTGTTTTAAATAATTTGAATTAGATTATCTTATATATATAAATGGATCGCAAAATGTGTTGGTAAGCGCATAACTCAACAACGCCTGGACCAATTTGGCCAATTCTTTTTTTAAAATGTTCGTTGAAGTCCAAGGATGGATGTTACGGCGAGAAAAAAACGAATAATTGCCGGGAAACCCCTAAAAACAGCCCTTTTCTTCTTTAATCGAGTAGGCAACGCAATTTGTAAAAAAAAACAATGATCTATGTCATGACATTTTATGTAGTTTTTGATAATCTAAATTTGAATATATTTATATAAACATAGAAATATCTTTCTATTAATCAAGCTATATTGTTATTTGAATTGTTTGTTTGAATTAAATTTCAAAATTCAAGTACAAATTACAGGCGAATCAGTTGATTCGGCAACTAACCAAGACGATCCGCCGGAGTTTTTAAACTCGCTGGATTTGCTAGGATTGTCACCTCACAATCTTCAATTAAAGGTTGGATCGGCAATTATAATGTTGCGAAATATCGACCAACTATATTCAAAGGATAGTATAAAGCAGCAGATGTTCTCGCACTATGCGTCCCAATGCGTTTCCAGTGCGTTTATGGTATCATTAAGTATTTGTGGTATTAATTTAGAAAACCCATGTTTCTCACATGGAAAATTGTATGTTGTTTGTTCCCGTATTGGAAAACCATCAGATTTGTTTGTCTATGCCCCATGTAATCAAACAAAAAACATCGTATATCACAAAGCACTACAATGAAAATTGAACTGATTTTTGAATTATGATTTACATTTTTAAAATTACTTACTTTTAAATGCTTATAGTGTTTTATTTAATTATTTTTAATTCACACCGAATTATTACCAGGGTGACGGTTCAGGATAATTTTTTGCACATAATAGAAAAAAGGTAGGCACAAAACACCGCCACATTACAATTTTTTTTTGACAGGACGAAGTCTGTCGGGCCGGCTAGTTTATTATAAATACATACTGTAAATTTATAAGTGCTTATTAAATTGGGCGACAGGCGTATTCTACAAACAGCTTATGTGTATGTTCAAAAGAAATTTGTTTTTTTTTTGAATTTGATTTTTTTTATACTTTTTAAAAAAAAATTATTTTTTTCAGAAGTTTGTTTTTTTTTTTGGATTTTTTTTAAATAAAAATTTTTTGAGAATTTGAAAATTTCTGATCTTTTAAAATAATTAGAAATATTCAAGAATAATTTTACTTGTATTGACGAAATGAACAACTGGTAAAGTTCTTGTACAGGCAGGTCCGACGTCTTTGGAGATCCAATAAAAAAAGTAAAAAGTAATGCAATTTGGCGGTCAGAAATGAACATTTAGAAATATGTAAATCGTGTTATTATATATTTTGTAAAGATTATAATAATAAGTATAAATTTTGTGTACATTTATATGGGTTCCGTACCAATATACACACGTTAAACGACAGCGCGGCGCTTACGCGCTTTGAAATTTCGACTCAAAATACAAAAAAATCGAAATATAAAAAAACAAATTTTTCAAAAAAATTATTTTTTTCAAAAATTTTAAAATTTCTCGAAAGTCTAATTTTTTCAAAGTTTTGCAAAGTATTTTTTTATAATTTAGTTTTCGGTTCGGAAAGTTCCAGCAAATTGCCTTAAGACAGGAAGCCATGCACCACTAGTTTTTAATACATTATAAATCATCTATTTTTTTTTATTTTGCAGTCATAATGTTGGTTTTCGACATGACGAATTTGGCAACTTTATCTAATTGTGCTGTCTGGTATGAAGAAGCAATGCGATTTAATTATGACGACCCATTGATATTCCTTATCGGAACGAAAATTGATAAAATGGTGAGAGAAGATTTGCACTGAATCATAGATAATAATAATATGAGATCTTATATATAAAGCCTTATATATTTGCAACCAATAGATACATCAGATCTGATAATACAATCAGAGGCAGATTTATAATTGATAACTCGATATATAATTTAAGGGGGCTTTTGGTTTTTTTTCGAAATGTATTTATTATAAAGACATGCGGTTTTTTTTAACAAAAATTACAAAATCATAGAATATTAAGAAATTTTTTATATATTTTTTTCGCCGTCATTATTTAACCAGGGTGCGATAAAGTCGGCCTTGCAAAATCGATCTCTTTTGCGGTGCCATAGATAAATCCGTTGCGCATCGCCTGAAACAAAAAAAAAGAAATTACGTTGAAGAAGAAGTTTGAATCCAGACCAAAATGAAAGAAAAAAAGCAAGAAGGAAAAAAATGGCAGCTATTTAAAGAAAAAGTGTTAAAATGGACCTTTTTTGAAGCTTCGCAATTTTTTTTTGCGTAATGTTATGAAGTTGTTTGAGGTAGGGGGACTAGGTATTGCAGTGGTGAACAAATTAAAAAAATGCAAATTCATCCGACTTGCAGTTTTTTTTAAATTTGTGGCACCGCATTGAAAAAAGTCAATTTGAGAAAAACGTATTTAAAGTTTTTAATATAATGTACTAAATACACCATTTAATTTAATGTACTATATGCACCATGGTGTTCAAAGATGCTGACACATTAAAAAGGTCATGTGCATGAGGTATTATAATGAAAAGGAGAGCAGCTGGCATACAATAGCTCGCGGAGCGATGAAAAAAGCGGTTTCAGGGGATCATATATATAGATATATATATATATATATATATATATATATATATATATATAACTTCGTCAAAAAAATTGATATTGAGATTATTTTTTTTTTAAATAATTTTAAGAGGTTTAGCTTTCATAATATCAAAAAATCTCAGAATCGAAAAAAAAAAAATAAAAACTGAACAACCTTCTGAAATTTATGTAAATGCTTTATAACTTTCTTTTCAATATGTTGTAATTTTCAAACATTTGATCTTATATGAAAAAAAATCATTATCTTCTGAATTATCCATTTCCTCAGGGTTCATCTGAAATAGACAAGGCCACCAAATCAGGATTCGTCCTGGCTCGAGATTTAGGAGCAGAATTTTGGACAGTGTCATCTAGTACTGGACAGAGGATAGAAGCTTTGATGAGACGAACTGCTGCAATATCCTTCCAGTATTTAATATTGTCCCAGAAAAAGGTGCCGAAGAAGAAAATTGTTGTGGGATCTGATGTTAGAGGTAAATAAATGAAAATGATAATAGTGAAAGGTATGCTAAGTAAAATTGATTAGGATGGTATTTTCTTGTGGTAAAAAATATTTTGATATCACATATAGATATATTTTTAATCCTATCAATAATATTGTTTAATAACTCAATAATAATATTCTTTATTGACTCAGTAGAAATTTTTGGGATGATTACACTGAATGAATTTGATATTGGCTTATTAGTATCTAATAATTGATTTATGAATGAAATTTCAGAAGTAATCCACCTTCGATATTAAAATATCCAAATTTTGTAGTTTATAAAATAGTAAATAAACTTTTCTGAGGTTTCTGAACGTTTGGCATACCTTAAAAAATGCATGTATGTGTGTAGGTGTATTTGTGTGTATGTGTGTCTGTGTGTGTGTATGTGTTCGGATACAAACTTTTTGATTTAGAAATTGTATTTAGACCTAAACTTATTAGATTTAAAAAGTGAATATCAATAAGACTATTATAATATTTCAATGTTCAGTTTTTTCTGGAAAAATTATGTTCTATTTAATAGTTATGTATCATGTTTATTTACCATAATATACCTATAATTTTCGTACAATTATAAATTCAAAATTAATTTTTGTATTTATTTTCTTAGCTCTATTTAAACCTGATTGTATGAAATCATCTACAAAATGCCATGGATGTCCTCTGTAAAGGTAAATTGGTTCATTATGAATTATTATTATATTAATCTTATTTATAGTCATTTTTATAATACTTCTTATATTATAACAACCAATTAATATTCCCAACTTTCCGTAGAGTAAGTTATAGAAATCGCAAAAGAATCGAAAATGAAAATTTTTATATATCTTTACGTTTCAGTGGTTTATGAACATTTTGGCATGGATGTAGGTATACGGCATGAAAAAATGGATATAGGTATCTGTATGTGTGTGTATGCGTTCGAATATAAATTTGCGTGGACGATTTTGGGAACACGGTACAACCGATTTGAATGATTCAAAAAACATTCAATTCCCATTGATTAGTTTTTGGAAAAGGCAGGTCTAGCCGTTTCGAAGATACGGGGCAAAAAGTGCCAAAAGTGATAACTCAGTTTTTTAAAACTGAGTTCAAAAAACATTTTACTTGTATTGATAAAATAAACAACTGATTTTTGGAAAGGCAGGTCTAGCGGTTCCGGAAATCGAGTAGAAAAAGTTGAACAAAATGGCATTTAGCGGACAAAAATGATCATTAGATATATGCATATAAAATTATCAGATATTATTTAGATATGTTTATAAGTATAAATTTTGTTTACATTTCTATGGGTTTCATAATATTGTTTGTCCGTTAGACGGCTACGCGGCGCTTACGCGCTTCGATTTGAAAAAAGTTCAAAATTTCCAAAATACTTTATGATATAAAAACAACGTTTTACTAAAAAAGATCCATTTCTTTCAAAAATTCCCGAATTCTCAAAAATATTTTTTTTAAGTTTCCAAAAATATTTTGATCATTTTTAAAAAGTAACAAATTAATTTTTGGTACGGAAAGTTCCAGCAATTTGCCTTAAGCCACTATGCCATACACCACTAGTAATTTTAAATTTATCTTAAAGGTTTGTCAAATACATCTTTTAGCACATATTACATTTATCGCCAATATGTTATATACAACTTATATGTTATTTACGAAAAAATAATATATTTTATACAAATATTGACAATTATATCAACATCTTAGGATTGATGTTGATATCATTTTGAAAAAATTTAAATTATTGTTACTAAGTATCAATTTTTTAGTTAAAATGCTGCCCTTGCAAAAAGAATGTAATCAGAAGGAAATTGACTGTCGAATTAGATAAAGATTTAAAGTTCAGTTTGTGTTTGTACGCCTTTGTGTTGATATACATTAAAATAAGTTTAAAATACTTGGAACAAAATGCACAAGTAAGTTGAAATTATGCATATTTTTTAATTGGTAAAAAAATTTAACACTGATATTTTTCAAATTTTCAATGAACGAAATTTATAATTATGTAATTTATATGTTTCAGAAACAAAAAGTTATGTCTGAATATTACCAAGTTTTCTTACCATGTTTAATTTAAATATAATATAAAAATATTTGTACATAGAAGTTTCACAAATTTAGAAAAAAAATAGCTATTGCTAAACTTCAATCAAATTTTTTGGCATCGACTGAATAATATTTGTAGCTACTTACTTTATTTTTTAAAATAGCCCAATTATCTTAAACTGTATTTTTACCTTAATTTTTTATTTAATTTAACCAATTTATCTTTTTAATTTATTCATTTTTATCTCTGGTGAATGTGTAACATACCAATGTGTGTAACATTGCTATGTTACATAATACATCAATTTCTTATTAAATTATTTTAAATTTTAATTTTATTTCGTTTTTTTTTAATACTCATCACAAATTATCACTATTCACCATGTATAATTTCATTAATTTTTCCAATTTTTCATAACGATCTTAGTTTTCACTTTAAATGTAATAAAGTTAAAGATTTCTCTCAATTTTTTAAAGAATTAATCAAAGATTTTTAATTTTTCTTAATATTGATTGAATGTACATATTTATTATTTATATCTTATTTATCAAATTGCTATTAAATTAATTTAAAGTGTAATTATAATTGATTTCTATTCAGAAAATTTCAGAAAATTTATAATTAATTATTCTCATAAAATTAATATCTCCAAACAATCTTATGTTATTACTATTGGTTACAATATTTAAAATTTAAATCTTATTTGTTGTCCATCAAATTTAAATTTTTCGGCAGCTGTGATAATTTTTATTTAGAAAAATTATAATTTCTCAAACGTAGCAAAAAAAAATCGCGAATCCATTTGTTTTCGTGACTTTCTTAAATTTGTAAGAACTTATTAATTTTTGGCTCTTACAGTTCCCAGTAAATGATAGAAAAATGTCCAAAATTATGGTTTTATCATTTATACAACTGTCTTTGAAAATGTTTTTTCTTAATTAAATAAATGATTTGGAGGTTTGAATCTTTTTGGTCACTATGTGCAACCTGTTTTATCTTTTTTTCAAATTTTTAATTGTTGTTTCAATTTTTGTATGGTAGGATTTATTAATCAGAATTGATTTATATGAATTCTTTCAGGAACTTTCTGGTCGTGCTGATTTTGTTCCAATTCATTGAAAATATTTCTAATTATTATCAAAATTCTGATGAAATTAATTTGTATGATTATGGAGAAGAACTAATAATTCAGCCACAGAAACAATTGAGTTGTAGTTCCAATACATATTACAATAATTATGGCAATAGATATAACCATAATACAACATGTCTTTTTGCAACTAAAAGTAACATCATACGAGATCGCAGCATTTTTCAAAATGTTGATAAACTTTATTTCGAGGACAGTAATATACAAGAATTTCAACGAGGTATAGTTGATCAATATTTTACCAATCGCCTTAAATTATTAAATCTTGCAAATGTTCAATTAGAAAACATAGAAGTTAATGCTTTATCCGGTCTAAAACAATTGCAATATTTATATTTGAATGACAACATTATGCAAAAATTATCACCCGGCATTTTCGCCGGACTGGATAATTTACAATATTTAAATCTGTCGCAAAATCAAATATCAGAATCATTGGACAAAAGAAATTTTACAGGAATCGAATCAAATTTGAAGACTTTAGATTTAAGTTATAATAGAATTAATTTTATTAGAAAAAATTGTTTTGCTGCATTCTCTCAATTAGCTGTTTTAAATATATCTCATAATCATCTATCGACTCTGCCTTCATTTTCTGAAAATATGTTGTTAGATACCATTATTTTGTCGTACAATAATATAAGTAAAATAGAAGATGACACTTTTCCAAAAAAATATTCGATAACGACTATCGATTTATCCAATAACAATTTGTCAGTGCCTTCAATTGGTTCTGTTTTAAATAATTTTAAGAAAATATCAAGTTTAAAATTGGGCAATAATTACATAAAGGATATAGAAAAAATTTTAAGCAATGTTGAAGTCAACCAGTTGTCAATTGAGAATAATCCAATTGATAGCATAGCTGGAGGTTCATTTTGTTCAGAACTAGTTGTAAGTCATCTTAATCTAAAGATTTTGACAAATATTTCCTTGTGTAACACCGGCACAGTTATCAAAGCATCTCATAATAATTTAGAACAAATGCCAGTGTGGACAGATATGCAGGAGGTCAAAGTAGTCGAACTGCAACATAACCAAATTTCAAAAATTCCTCTAGGAATTTTCAAGGATCTCAAATCTTTAAATGTGTTAAGACTGGACAGGAACAAAATTGAATTTTTAGACACTGGTGTGTTTTCTGGATTGCGTGCACTAAAAAGTTTGAACTTATCTTTCAATGCACTATCCCAGATAGATCATCATATATTATTTGGAATGAAAAATTTGGAAGATCTTTATCTTGGAGGCAATAGGTTGACCACATTACCGCACGATGACATGTTTAAAGTACTTCCGAGTTTGAAGAATTTGGGACTTAATAAAAACCATTGGTATTGTTTACAATTGATGAGTATATTGAAATCCATGGAAGACCATAAAATTGAAATTGTGCATCATGGAGAAGTTGATTACCATGTTGCAAATTTGGATGGGATACGTTGTTGGCCAGAAAACAGAACCGATGTTTATGAAGTCAATACTGCAAATAGTCTAAATGAGACAAAAGAATCAGGTGTGGTTACTAGTTTGACTACAACCACGCAGTTGACCACTTTGCCAACTACAACAAGAAAAGTTACTTCACTGCCAACTACACAAATTACGAGCAAACGAACTTCTCCATCAACAACTACAAAATTAGAGACGACAACTGAATCTTTGGCACAAACTTCAACAAATTTACCATCACCAACTTTAAGCAACTTCAACAAACCATCTGTGACAATTTTTGAGGCTGCAGTAAAACAAATGATGCAAGCTGAAAGGTTATATCAAGATGAATCCAGCAAAAGAGTTGATGACAAATTTAACAAAATACAATCTGGAATATATGAAATGAAAAATATATTTGTTATTCTTGTAATTCTTGTAGCATGTGTCTTATGTATACAATTTTATAAATTTTATAGCAAAAACATCAGGAAACGTTCTCATGTAATTTCTATGAATACAAGTCAACAGCCATTAACGACAGAAATTGCAATGTAATATGTTGTAATTTTGTATAGAAATATTTTATATTTTAATAATTGTATATTGCATAATATAAAAATGACTAGATATTTGAACTAATAGTATTGGTTTATGTAAAAGTACGAACCTGGGGTAGTGTACAAATATTTTTAGCTCATCATTGGTCCGATAAGGTTTTGGCACCACCACGTGGTTTAAGGATCTATTTTACCAAGACAAATGTGTTTTTATATTATTTTATAAATTTCTATTTATACATCGAACTAGTTATAGTTTAATATATAATTTAGACCTAGTGAATATTAATTTCAATTCAGTTTTAGTGTCTGTCTGTGTGTTTTTATAAAATTATTTGGAAGTGGTAATATATTATTTTCATTTCATGACTATTGTGCAGTACAGGTATTTCTAATGTTTTCATATTTAATTTTTCTAAGAGAAATTAGAATTTGATTAGGCATTTCAATGTAATTAAATTGATATATTTAATTTCATTAATATACAAACGTGGTAGGATCTTAACCTAAAAATATTTTTCATTATGTATTTATTACTTATATTATATAAGTTCAAAATTCAATGTCATATTAGCATTATTATTATTATTATTATTATTATTATTATTATTATTATTATATATTATTATTATTATTATTATTATTATTATTATTATTATTATATAATTTTAAATACTATATGGTTTAATTTTGCATTATTTTGTATTAAATTATTTGTAAACTAAGACAAAATCATAGTTTTATTTTATTTGAAATAAAATATTTTAATTTTTTATACATTGTATAATTAAGTTTTGACTTTCTGGCATACATTTTTAAACGAAGTATGAATATATTAATTAAAAATATATAATCTGAGCATCCAGGTTTTAAATAAGTTTCCTCAAAAATAAGAATTATATTACGTTTTGATTGACCACAGTTTTTTAATGGGTGTTTTTAATAAAATTGAACATATTAGCATAATGTGTTGTACTTAAATAATAAACTTGCTAGGATTTTTATTGTATATAAAAATTTATATATTACACAAAATTAAAAATCAAATTATACAAAGTGCAATAACCAGTATTTTTAACTTCCCGTAGAGTAAGTTATAATAATGGGCCAAAAATCGAAAATGAAATTTTTTTGCATATCTTCACGTTTCAGAGGTTTTCGAACAATTTGGCATACCTCGGAAAAAATCGATGTGTTTGTGTCCATTTTTTCTTTCACGTTTTCGGGCGCACGAATCAACCGATTTGATTAGTTTAAAAAACATTCGATTCCTATTGGAAGAGAAATGTGCTGATTAGTTTTTAGCAAAGGCAGGTCCAGCTGTTACGGAGATACGGAGCAAAAAGTGCAGAAAATAGAAGTCGAGTTTTTGAGAGAACGGACTGTCCGATTTGAATGATCTAAAAAACATTCAATTTGTAATGATTAGGACAAGGTGATTAGTTTTTGGCAAAGGCAGGTCCAGCGGTTTCAGAGATACAGAGCTAAATGTGCAAAAAATGGCAGGTTTTGAGAGAACTAAGCGTCCGATCTGAATGATTCAAAGAACTTTCTGCTTGTTTTAACAAAATAATTGCTTTTAAAAAAAAAAATGTGTCAATTTTTTTTTCAAAAAATATTTTTTTTATATATCGAAAATAATTCAGGTTTTAATTGTAGTTCTGACTTCAGTTCTAATTTAATTTAAACAAATAATTTCAACTTTGCAATTCAATTTATATAATTCTTATAAATATTAGACAATGTTACAGTATTTATTTATAATAATCTATTTGAATACATTTAATATTTGCCTTAAGGCACGATGCCATACACATTACTTCAGGTTTGAAATTCAATTGAAAGTTAATAATAATTAGTTGATGACAATCAATATTAGTAATAAGTTTTTTTTACATATAAAAATCTCATCGTAATACTTATGTTATAAATAGTATATGTAGTGTTTTTAATATCTAACAGGTGTAGTTTATTATAAAAATTGAATTTAATTAAAAAAAATATATTTTACAAACATTTTCCTTTTTAAAATTATTTAAGTTGAAAACATTAAACGAACAAAATAAGTGTTTTAACAATGGATGGGTATTAAAAAAATGTGTTTTTTCTGAGGCCAACATTGGTCTAATATTTGGTGGCAAACTATAGTATTTGGTGTCAAATTTGATTCAATGCGCCTCGTTGAAAATTCATCACAGATCTATATATAATTTTAATTTTATACTTTTCTAAACCCTGAATCATTCATATTTATAATTGAGGGAATACCCTGTTTCTTTAGATCTTTTATCTATAAAATATGAATGTGAACAATTCCGGATATTTATCAGACTCGTTATGAATACAGCAACTGTTTATATGTCTTTATCTGGTCAAGGATATTTTAAAAATGATTATGACAAAGTATATTATCTAATATTCTACTTATGAATTTTTTACATGTCTGATTATTAAATTTATTGATTTTGAACTTCCCGTAGGATAAATTATAGTAATCGCAAAAAAATCGAAAATGAAATTTTTAATATATCTTTACGTTTTAGAGCTTTCTAAACACTTTAGCATACCTTAGAAAAAATGGATGTATGCGTGTGTATGTGCGGATACAAAGTTTCGTCGACGATTTCTATAACACGGATCAACCGATTTGAATTATTCAAAAAAAATTTCGATTTTGACGTGCTGGTTTTTGGCAAAGGCAAGTCTAGTCTTTTTGAACATACAGGGCAAAAGGAGCCAAAAATAGTTTTTTTAGTTTTTGAAAGAACGGAGCGTCCGATTTAAATAATTCTAAATACATTTTATTTGTATAGACCAAATGGCATTTGGCGGTCAAGAATTATTTATCTGTTATACTGTTATAAATAATGTTAAAAAAATTCAAAAAATTAAAAAGAAAACATGATCGAAATATAAAAAAAACAATTTTTTCATGAAAGTCCATTTTTTCCATAGAATATTTAAAAATCTCATTTTCCCAATTTTCGAAAAATTTTAATTTTTGGCACGGAAAGTTCCAGCAATTTGTCTTAAGGCACGATGCCACGCTCCAGTTAGTTTGAAATTATTTGAAAACTTGGTCATAAAATTTTCAAATATTGTTATAAGCAAAAATATTAATACTATATACCATTATACTATATACTCACGTTTAGTGAGTTTTGACAGAGATAATATTTATCTCAAATATATTTAACAAGGATCTTTGTTCGAGTTTGTAACCATATATATATGTTATATGTAAGTATGCGAATTCAAATTGCCCATCGCAAAAACAAGTTCTCAGTTTCTTTTCAATTGCTAATGTGGTGATACTTATAAATAAAATGAATTACAAGATGAACAAGTAAGTTATAATTTTTTTATATAAAATATTCAAAGTTATTTTTGTTTCTTTTTAGTTATTTTTTTGGAACTTCTATTTAATTTTTCCATAAAATTTGCTTTACGTATTATAATTATAAGCAACATTGGTTTATACAATATAACAAATTCAGAAAGAATTAATATATAGTATCAGCGGTATAAAAAACAATATCACCTTGGATTTTTTCACTCAAAATAATTGCTACAATGATGTGGCCTTTAATTTTTATATTCTCGTACTAAATATTAATTGTTTTCTGTAATAATGATATCTGAATTATATTTTTCTTGATAATAATTCGATATACATTATTACTTAAGATTATATATTAAGCGAATTAATTTGTTTAATACTATCTAGGCTTCATACTATCGCATAACTAAATCACGTTTAATTATAATTATTTTTACGATAATTGTTTTTTCAGACACACACACATATATATATATATTATATATATATATATATATATGTATATATATATATATAATATAAACAGTCAGCTCTACAATAACGCGGTTTCCTATAATAACATGGTTTTATTTCAACCATTTTTAAATGACCCTAGTAACTAGATATGGTTGAAAAAGCTTTAAATATAAATTTTATTATGAACTTGTTAAAAATGCCAGTTTATATCATAGTGTAAGACGACATTCATTTTAGTAGTTCCAAAGCAAACTTGTTTGAGCCAAAGTGTTTCTAAAATAAGTTTTGTTGGAAAACAGTTTTTCAATTTTATTTTTGTTTATTTTGTTTATTAAAAGTAATTTCAGATTTGTCTTGCATTTCAACTATGTGAAGAAGATATTTATGTTTACGTCAATAAATCCGCCAGTTTTATATTTTCTGGGAGTTTCATGTCATTCTGAATCGATTGAACTAAAATAAGAAAAAAACTAGCTGGTATTGGTATTTTGCCTTCAGGCAAGATACTTGAAATTCCCGATATGTGCAAATAATCGACTTAATCAAAAAAAATATTAATTTATTAGTGATTAAAAGTATTCTGAGTGGATTTATTACACATAATTGAAAACGAACGATCACGTTAACTCGGAGTATTTTCTAAAAGCAAATTTTCAAAAATCAATAATTTTTATAATTGAACGAGTTTCCGTGAGACAAATTTTAAATTTAACAAACTTTGAAAAAAACTACTCATTCTCTCAAATTTTGATGATTTTTTTAAAATTAAACTACTTGTCGTAAAGCCGTAATATTTCAGTAAGTTCTGTAAGACCATGATATATATCGTCAAAAAAGTTCCTCAAGCCGGCTTAATTTGTTTTCAACAGTTAATTATAAGAAAACGGCTCGGTAGAGATTCATCTGAAACTAATCAATATCATTCCCACCTAATATCTTTTGAACAGTTTTTGAATTTTTAAAATCAATTCGGTAGTATGAGCTTAAATGTGGACGATAATGTTAACCTTTTTTTTCAAATTACAAAGAAATGGCTCGGCAGATCGCCGCACAAAACTGACAGAGGATAGTACTCATTGAGATACATGAACTGGATTCTAAATTTCTGAAATCGGTTCAGGCGTTTTAGAGAAATCGGCGATCACAGGTCTAGTTTTGACAAACGCCAAAAAACGATAATAATTTTTGCAAAGAATTATGAAAACTACATGACTTGTCGTAGGACCGTAATATTTTCGTATGATCTATAAGACTATGGTATCTACCGTGAAAAAAAAAATCATAAAAATCGTCAAAAAATAATTTTGAACATTTCATTACAAGAAAACGGTCTGGCCAATCATCACCATTTACTTATCAGGTCGATTTCCAACCAATATCTTTCGAATGGTTTTTGAATTTGAAATATTTTTCACTTTTCAGCGATTTACACAGAAACAGCTCGGCCGATCGCTGCACAAAACTGAGAAAAGATAATCCATAATAAAATACATCGATTGGCTTTTAAATTTTTTAAAACGGTTCAGCCAGTTTTGAGAAAACGTTGGTTTACGACAAAAAATCTGTTCACACACACACACATACTTTTTCCAAATTTGGTCTCATTCGATTCAGAATGGCTTGAAACGTCGAGAATACATAAAATTAGCAAATCGGATTTTTTGATGAAAACAAACTTCTCTTTCAGATAGTTTAAAGTTAAAAATCTCTTCTGATAAATATTACTGACGAAATAACAGATCAAAGTTGTATATAGTGCTATCTATACACCAAATTTACCTATAAAATTCATATTTTGCATTGGTTGAATAATATAGTTATAATTTCGTAAAATTTCTTTAAAATTGCAAATAAGATAAAACGGATTCAATCGTTTGCCTTCTAGCTGTTCTATTTTACTCCATCAATGGGGTAAAAAAGACCGAGTGATAAATTTTTGGAAAACAACAAAAAACACATTTCTGCAATAATGATTTAGTTGGGAGGTTTACTGAAGATAGTCTGATAGTTGTTTGTTTGAAATGTGTTATTTGTTGGGATATAATTGATATGATTTTTATTATATATTTTGCTGGAAGTCAAATTGGACCTTTGTACCCCGCCCTGTTCGAATTACTAAATTAATATATTGGTTTTTCTTTGATGTAGTCGATTATGTGCACATATCGAAATGTTTATGTAACATGCCTCAAGAGAAATTACTATTTACACCTAGTTGTTTTTGCAAGTCCTTACTTATTTTGAGTTTTCTATAACACGATTTCCATACAATTATGGTTTATACAAAAACCGAGATTTCAGAAAACCGGTTTTAGAATTTTAATTTTACTAAAAACCGGTTTTAACCGGTTTTCGAATTTCATATAGAAAATAAATTTTTGCTCGAATATTCTGTTATTTACCCGCAAATTTAGTGTAATATAGAATAGTATTTGACTAAATTTATTTATCGTTCAATTTTATGGATAGTAAACAAAATTATTTTAATTTTAATTAGTAGAACTAAAAAATAATAGTTTATCCTAATTAAATAACTTTAAAAATAATTATTTGTTATTCATGCATCATTTTCACATATAAGAATGAAAATATTTTTATGGTAGTGAAAGAAACGTTTTTCGAATAAATTAAAATAATACATTTTTAAATAAAAAAAATTCATTAAATATAAAATTAACTAGCTGTAAGTGGAATTCTGTCTTGAGGCAATTATGGCATCGTGCCTTAAGGCAAATTGCTGGAACTTCCCGTACCGTAACGAAATGTTCGAGGAATACTGAATGTTTTCAAATAGATTATTATAAATATTGTAACATTGTCTAATATTTATAAGAAATATATAAACTGAATTGCAAAGTTGAAATTATTTGTAAAGTATAAGTACTATAGTTCTAATAACTATAGTCGGAATTAAAAATAAAATCTGAATTATTTTCGATATACAAAAAATTAAAAAAAAAATTAAAAAAAAGTTGAAATTTTTTTTTCCAAAATCAATTATTTTGTTAAGACAAGCAGAAAGTTCTTTGAATCATTTAAATCGGACGCTTAGTTCTCTCAAAAACTGCCATTTTTTACATATTTAGCTCCGTATCTTCGAAATGGCAGGACCTGCCTTTGCCAAAAACTATTAAACACTTCTCCCAATCATTACTAATTGAATGTTTTTTAGATCCGTTACTCCGTTCTCTCAAAAAGTCGATTTTTATTTTCTTAACTCTTTGCTTCGTATCTCCGAAACGGCTGGACCTGCCTTTGCCAAAAACTAATCAGCTCTTTTCCCTATCAATAGGAATCGAATGTTTTTTTAACCATTCAAATCGGTTGATCCGTGCGCCCTAAAACGTGACTGGAAATTTGTATCTATACATACATACACACGCACACACATACACACACACACACATCCATTTTTTCTGAGGTATGCCAAAACGTTCAGAAACCTTCAAAACGTCGAGAAATGTAAAAATTTTCAATTCCGATTTTCGGCCCATTACAATAACTTACCCTACGGGAAGTTAATAAATATTAGATACATGTTGACATACTTGTTAATATCAATTTTATTTTAAAAACAATTAAACTAAACTTTTATTTATGTTCTAAGCAATTTTAATTAATTAATTTTAAATATTCTAATTGTTTTTTGTTTCATGAAATATGATTTTAAAAAATTGAGAACGTCTATCAAATTGCTACTTAAACGTGTCCTTTGTTTACTCACAATATTTCCTGAAATAGAAAAAACTCTCATACTTGCGAACAAATTATGCTTAATTGTTTTTAAAGCCTGATATAATAATTCTAAGTTTTTGTTCTTTAATTTGTGGCTTCTAGGGTTTGAAACTTTTTTTAAAGTTTGAGTAGAGGAAGTTACTTCTTCAAGAAGAAGTCACACTGATTTAAATTAATATATACACTGGTATAAAAATCTAAATTATTATATATAAAACCTTACTGGGAACTATTGCAGACTCATAAGATATCAAATGCTATTGAAACGATATGATTTCAAGAATCAAAACGCTTTCATCTATCTTTTATATTTGGCTATATTTGTCATTTTCCAATTATACAGTGAAAACCGACTTTTTGCACTAAAAACCGGTTTTTGAATTTCATAATTTTCGCCAAAAAAACGGTTTTTAAAACCGGTTTTTGAAAACCGATAAACCCTGCATACAACGCTATAGTACTGCCGGGAATTGTTCGTTAAATCCGAGTTTAACTTAGTTTCCATATTACACTGTACGCAACTCACCGCATTATTGGAGGGTTGACTTGTATAATTATTATGTCTTACTTTCATCTTAATATCTTTAATTTTCAGACAATTAATTTGGTTTTTGATAGTAATGTCCTTCATCGATAATTTGTTTTGCTTCAAATATCAAAACCTGACGATCAATGTTTAGAACCTGCTGAACATGATATCTATTGTGAAGATCTTAATGGAAGACCTTTGATCTTTGAAGATCCTTATGAAAGGAGGAGTTATTTCCAATGCAAATGGGCAACCAAATTCAATTTAGAAACTATTATACCGCACATATTAAATTATGAATTTTATTTAAGTTTTATCGACAGTGTTATAGAAGAAATACCAAACGGTGTCTTTGATGACTATCGAGTAGATATTATTCGAAGTTTGAACTTGGAAAACGTCCAATTGAAGAAGATAAAATCGAATGCCTTAGACGGATTAAAAAATTTACAAGAATTAAATCTAAACAACAATGCTATTAGAAGCATACAACAAGGTTGTTTCAATACACTAACTGATTTGCAAACTCTTAGAATATCTCACAATGAATTATCTGGGAAACTTAATGAAAAAAACTTTACTGGAATAGGAACACTACTCAAGGAATTAGATTTAAGTTTCAATAACATTGAAGAATTGGAAATGAATTGTCTGGCACATTTCGAAATGCTTACTTCAATCGATTTATCGCATAATTTATTATCTGGAACATTAGCAGAACAATTTTTTTCTGGAGAAAATTCAGATTTAAAAGTACTTGATTTGAGTTTTAATCAAATTGAACACATAAAAGTAAACTATTTTTCAAATTTAGCAAAATTGGAATCTATAAACTTGTCCAACAATCGTTTGTTCAAAGCTCCATCTTTTGCTTATAACAACGATATAAAATATCTAGATTTATCTAAAAATTTAATTAAAGTTTTTGATGAAGACACTTTTCCTACAGTCTATGAAATCGATTTGCTTGACTTATCGTCCAACGAAATATCTTATATATCACCATATTCTGGTTTTACAAAATCGTCTAAAATAGCAAATTCGAGATTGCAGAACAACAATTTTGTAGACATCAGAAATTTTTTGACAGATATTTTGTTAGACTCATCGCCATATTCTGGATTTACAAAATCGTCTAAAATAGCAAATTTGAGGTTGCAGAACAACAATTTAGTAGACATCAGCAATTTTTTGACTGAACCTAAATTGTTTGAGATATCTTTGCACAATAATCCTATCAAAATAATCAGCAACAAGTTTTTCTGCCAAGATTTAAAAGTGAGTGGAATGGATTTAGTTTCAGTAACAAATATTTCCATGTGCAATACTAGTACAATATTTGATGCTTCTCATAACCAACTTTCAGAAATGCCAATTTGGACAGACATGAGATCAGTACAATATATTTTGTTACAAGATAATGAAATTACTAATATTCCTGTTGGACAATTTGCAGGTTGCACTTTTTTGAAAGGTTTAAATCTAGATAACAATAAAATAACGACTTTGCAGCCTGGCATATTCACCAGCATCAAATGTGCCCGTTTTCATAATGTAGAATATTTAAAATCTTTGAAATATCTTCAAATTTCTCTTAATTCTTTGTCGGGAACGTTAAACAAATTGAATTTTACTGGTTTAGGAAAAAGTGTGGTTGAATTAGACTTAAGTTCTAATAACATCGAAGTTTTAAATGATACTTGTTTTGAAGGTTTGGAAAGTTTAACTTTTTTAAATATTTCTAATAACCGTTTATCAAGATTACCACTTTTTTTAAAAAATACTGAACTGTCTAATTTGATAGCATCGAATAATAATTTGTCAAAAATTGAATCCAATACATTCGCTTCTCTGAATTTGAATCAGCTCGACTTATCCTTCAACAATTTTTCTAACTTTTCACAACTATTAGGTTTAAATTCAATTAGCATTGGAAGTTTAAATTTGCAAAATAATAGTTTTAAGAACATCGTAAAATTTTCAGTAAAAATCAGTGTTTCAAAAGTATCTCTAGACAATAATACTATAACGGGTATTGGATATGCAAATTTTTGTAAAAATGCGACTTTAAGCAATTTAAATTTAGAAGTTATAGAAAATATATCAATGTGTAACACTGGTGATACATTTGATGCATCGTATAATAAATTAACAAATTTGCCAAAATGGACAGAAATGAAGACTGTACGAATTATTAAATTGCAACACAACTTGATTAGTAACATACCAATAGGACATTTTCAAGATTGCTCTGAATTAGTGGTATTAAATTTAGCCAATAATTATATAGATTCTTTGGGCACTGGAGTATTTTCTGGATTGACTACTCTTCAATCCCTGCAATTATCTTTCAACTCCTTGCCAAATGTCAATCATTATAATTTATTTGGATTGGATAATTTGAAAAGTCTTAATCTATCAAACAACCGAATAGTAAAATTAGATTTTGCTATGAAACCGCTTTTTCAAATGCTGCCAGAATTAAAAATCATAGATTTAAATAGAAATAATTTTATTTGTTCATATCTAATGCCTATATTACAAACAATGAAACAACTTGGTGTCAGCGTTGGTAGAAATTTGGACTATAATGTAACAAATTTAGGTGGTATTTTATGCAGATAACTTAACTTAATTAATGACATAAAATTCTTAAAATTATAAATTACTATTTCAATTAAAACCAGTAAATTTGCATAAATTCATCCAGTTAAGCTAATTATTGTGTAAGACATGTACTAAAATATATTATATTACATTTAAGTATATTTGTAGTATTTTTTGGAGGAATTGATATATATATATATATATATATATATATATATATATATATATAAATACTCATTTATAAAGATAAAATATGTTTATATATGTAGATATGCAATTGAGAATTGTCTGGTAAAATAGATAAGCTTTTGTAAATCAGTTTGTTTTCAATTGCCAATTTAATAATTAAAACCAGTGATGTATGGCATCGTGCCTTAAGGTAAATTGCTGGAACTTCCCGTACCGTAACAGAAGATTCGAGGAATGTTAAATGTTTGCGAATAGATTTTTATAAATACTGTAATAACATTGTCTAATATTTATGAGAATTATATAAACTCATTTAAAAACTCATTTAATTATTTATTTAAAGAATATAAGTGTTTTTTAGAATTTTAGCAGGAAAAAAAAAATTCTTGAAAAAAAATTATTTTTTTCCCCCCAAAGCAATTGTTTTGCCAACACAAGCAGAACGTTTTTTGAATTATTAAATCAGATGTTTGGTTCTCTCAAAAACTGCAATTTTTTGCACATTTAGCTCTGTATCGTCAAAACCGCTGGACCTCCTTTTGCCAAAAACTAATCACCACTTCTCCCCGTCATTACAAATTGAATGTTTTCTGGATCATTCAAATCGGATGCTCCAATCTCTCAAAAATTCTATTTCTATTTTCTGCACCCTTTGCTCCGTATCTCCGTAACGTCTGGACCTGCTATTGCCAAAAACTAATCAGCACAACTCCCTTAAAATGTGAATTAAATACTGTTTAAACAATTGAAATCGGTGATTAGTTTTTGGCAAAGACAGGTCCAGCCGTTTCGAAGATAGAAGCTGAATACACAAAAATGGCAGTTTTTGAGAGAGCATTCGATTTGAATAATTCAGAAAATGTTCTGCTTGTGTTGGCAAAACAATTGCTTTGGGGGGGAAAAATTTAATATTTTTTTCAAAAAATTTTGTTTATGTATATCGAAAAAAATTTAGTAATTTTAATTCTTGCTAAAGTTCTAAAGCTCGCTTATATACTTCAAATAAATAATTTTAACTTTACAATTCAGTTTATATACTTATCATATAAATATTACACATCATTACAATATTTTTAATAATCTATTCGAAAACATTCAATATTCCTTGAACATTTCGTTACGGTACGGAAAGTTCCAGCAATTTGCCTTAAGGCACGATGCCATATACCACTAGTTAAATCATTAGTTATCTACTTTTGAGCACCCTATCTATTCAATATTTTAGTAAAAATTGTTTAACTTATAATGAACTACTAATTTTAAAATTGGTTGTTTTATATCATCTAACTACTAGATTAAATTACTTGTAATCATTTTTATAATGAAAGTTATAAATATATAATAATAAGTATAAGATATCTTGTGTATATTATTTGTATAAATATGAGATATATATTTTTATAAATAGATATCAATTGTTATTAAAAATTTAATCAGAAAAGGATTGTCTGTCGAAGTAGATAAGTCTTCGCAATTCAGTTCCAATTCAACTGTCTGTGATGTGAGACATTATAAAATTACAAGATGCACACGTAAGTTTAAACTTTTTTTGACATATTTGCTAAAAGTATGATTTAGTTTAGTTATTAGTTACAAATCTTCTATTTAAAAATTTATGCCTCAATATTTTCATAAAATTTATGTTTTATCCAGTTATATCTGGCGCACCCATCGGATATTGCGCATGGATTTTATGTCGTGAAAATCGAGGTAAAATTTTGTTTTGGGGCTAAATGCCATTTACAACTAATTATTTATTAATTTTATAGCTTCAAAATATTCTCATTATCTTTGAATATAATTTTCTAATTTTTTTCTCAAATATTGCAATCTCTATAGCCAATTGTTTTGGCTATAATTAATTTGCCACATGAGGCAAATATTCGTCAATACTCAAAATTTTTCCACTTCTCCATTTATTTCAAATTAGTAATCCATTCAATTGCATAATTAATTTATATATATATATATATATATATATATATATATATATATAGCCTACCCTCCTATAACGTGGTTCTCAGGAATGTGATTTCCATTTATGCGCTGTATAGAAGTCGGCACTTTTTGTCAATTATTCTATTCAGTTCATATATATATATACGAGGTCTGTTCAAAAAGTACCCGGAATTACTAATAATTAAATTTCGCGGGTCTGGAGTGTCTGATTGTCAAATTTTTTTTTTATTGTGTTGGTATACATGCCCCTAAAGTATGATGAAATTTTCATCAGCTATATTCACTGTTTACTTTGTCTGTGGTAGTCGCTAAGGTTCGACGTGTTTTTCTGAGCTCGGCGATTTTTACAATGGAAGAATTGAAAAGTCAAAGAATTTGTATTAAATTTTGCGTAAAAAATGAAATAAAGTGTTGCAAAGTGCAAAAATTCACCAGATATGGCTCCGTGTGACTTTTTCCTATTCCCAAAGTTGAAGAGACCCATGAAAGGACGGCGGTTTTCCTCGATTGAAGAAATAAAGGCCGAATCGCTGAGAGTGCTCAAGGACATATCAAAAAGTGAATATCAAGGGTGCTTCGAAAATTGGAAAAAACGCTGGCATAAGTGTATTATATCTGGGGGGGACTACTTTGAAGGGGACCACATTAATGTAGACGAATAAATAAATATTTTTTTGAAAAAACGAAAATTCCGGGTACTTTTTGAACAGACCCTATATATATATATATATATATATATATATATATATATACCATGACTGAGCAAAACATTATAAATTTTAGGAAGCTGCAGGCTATTTTAATTCTACTTCTTTGTGTGAAGAATATTTCAAATATGGAATTTAGTATTCAACAAGAAGACCCATGCAAGTTTCAGAAAGAAATGGTCTGCAGTGTCAAAGCTGGACGAAATTATGACAATCAAAATTATTATCGTCACATATTCGAAAAAACATGCCAGTTTGCAAACAGAACTAACCTGATACGTAGTTCTGAACACTTTCTTGACAATACTTTACTATATCAATTTTCCAACAGCTGTTTAACAGATATAATGAATGGTGTCTTTGATCGAGCTAAGAACAATATTCTTAAAAAATTAATTTTAACGAATGTGCACTTGCAAAAAATATCAAAAAACGCTCTGTCCGGGTTGAAAAACTTGGAAACATTATATTTAGATCAGAACCAATTAGAAAACATTGCTTCTGGTGTTTTAAACGGTTTAAAGAATTTGCAATATCTTAATATTTCCAGAAATAGGCTTGCTGGGTCTTTGGAAAAACAAAATTTTACAGGCGTCGGAATTGAATTAAAAACTTTAGATTTGAGTTTTAATCGTATTGAGTTCATAAAAATTGATTGCTTGGAATGGTTTGCTGAATTACGCGTTTTTAACATCTCTCATAATCGTTTAACAACTCTGCCTTCGTTCACTTATAATGTGAACTTGAACCATGTTATAATATCCAACAATAATATAATTGAAATTGGAGATAATACTTTTCCGAGAAAGGATAGTATGGACTCAATTGATTTATCTTATAACAACATATCAATAATATCAAAGACTTCGGGATTACATTGGTACAACATGATATCAAGCCTAAAATTGGATAACAACTCTCTGAATGATATAAGCACAATTGTACGAAATACTAAAATTAGTCAATTATCAATTAAAAATAATCTTATTGATAACATCACATGTGGTTCATTCTGCTCAGAATTAGATGTGAGTCATCTAAATTTGACTATTTTAACGAATATTTCTTTGTGTAATACTGGAACAGTTTTTAAGGCATCTCACAATAATTTGAAACAAATGCCAATATGGACAGGCATGGAGATGGTAAAAATAGTTGAATTGCAGTATAACAAAATTTCAAAAATACCTTTAGGAACTTTCAAAAACTTTAAGTTTTTAAACTATTTGAGACTGGACAATAATAAAATTGCATTTTTAGATACTGGGGTGTTTTTTGGCTTAGGATCTCTGTCAAGTTTGAACTTGTCTTTTAATGCACTCTCGACAATTGATCACCACGTTTTATTTGATTTGAGATTACTGACAACTTTATACCTCGAGGGTAATATGTTGACAACCTTGCCTATTGAGGATATATTCAAAGTATTACCTAATTTAGAAAATTTAGGTCTGAATAAAAATCACTGGCATTGTGCAACATTAATGTCCATATTGCAATTTATGATGGGTCATGGAATTAAGCATGTTCATCATGAATCATTGATTGGACATGTTCCAAATTTGGGTGGGATTCGTTGTTGGCCTGAAAATAAAACTGATATGATATTTGATAATAGCACTAAAATTAGTGGAACAAGTGGAAGTACTATTTTGACTGGAATCACGGAATTTACGACTGTGCCTACTACAACCAGGAATGTCACTATCATTCCAACTGTGGAAGATGCAGTGAAGTCTACTACACCAAATTCTTTATCAACGACTACAAAACTGATCAAACCAACTATGCTTTCACAAAATACTTCCTCAACTCATTTCATAACTTCAACCATCTTTAATAAACCAACTGTAACTTCAACCATCTTCAATAAATCAACTGTGACAAATTTTGGAGCATCTGGAGATCCATCGAAACAATCTGAAAAATTGTATCAAGATCGTTTACCTGTGATGGATGAATCCATCAAAAGAGTTGAAGCAAAAGTAGAATCTGGAATTTATGAAATAAAAAATATATTTGTAATTCTTGTAATTCTTGTAGCATGTGTCTTATGTATACAAATTTACAAATTTTATAGCACAAACATCAGAAAACGTTCTCATTTAATTGCAATGAATACAAATCAACAGCCTTTAACAGCAGAAATTGAAATGTAAAAGTTTGTAGTTTAATGTAGATATATTTTGTACATGTTATATGAATGTTTATCATAGTTTATTATTAGTCGTATATTATATTTAATATAAATAATTATATATTATTTTGAATAATATGTTGGTGTGAAAATATTTCAGTTCATCATTGGTGCTGGCACTACCAAGTGGTTTGAACATTTTCTTCCATATTCTGGATTAAGCAACTTCATTTATTTACATTGAACTCAGAGTTTTTCAAAGCCAATTTCAACATAATTTTAGTGTTTGTTTGTTTTCATAAAAATGTTTTAATTTTTTCATTTACATATAAATTACAATCTGCCTATAGATATACCTTGAGTAATTGATTTAGAAATTAAAAGTGGCATTTTCTAGAAGAAAAATCTATTCTTGTACTACATTATAATGTAAATTTTATATTATTAATGTTTCGAAATTGGTAATAATTATTTCGATTGTTTGAGTACAGGGATGGTCAATACTATCAATATTAGTTTATTTCCTATAAATTACATTTAGACATTTTGTAATTAGGTGAATACATTTACTAATTTTGGCTTCTAAAAGGATATATAACATATATTTTTATAATACTATATAAAGGTAATATAGTATTTGAATATAATAATAGAAGATTTCACAAAAAATATACTTGCAATTTAAAACTAAGCTTGCGGACTACATTAATACTTTAAAACACAAAATTTTTAGAAGGATTTTTTCAACTATTTGTAATAATAGAACAATAAATAAAAGGAATGATCTTAACACGTTGTGCGAATAAAATCTCTTTTATTTAGATAATATTTCCAAATTTCTCACAAAACAATAGTAATGTCGCGCAAAAAATTTGCAATTAGTTCCACATATGTGTAAAATCTTGGTAAAAATATTTAAAAAAATCTTTTCTCCATTAAATCTTCAACCAGTCTACGAATAACACATATTATACACACTATCTACTTGTAATTTTTTAAAATTAGTGTTATGTGAAATATTACAAATTTAATGTTTATATTACATAGTGTAGTGCATTACCATATCCTGATACCATGGATTATTGAATTTTCTATTTTACCACTAAGATTACCTAATTGCAAGTACCTGTTACTCTTTAAAAAAATTCCAATACAATTGTTCTAGTTTTTAATTTTGGTTTTCAATTTCTAGTTTTCACTAAATGAAGGCTAGGATTATAACCAAAA